GATGCACTAAGTGGACCACGACCAGTCGCCTCGGACACATACAGGGTTGTATCTTCTTCCGGTTTGTACTCACTTCGGCTAATGGGATCATTGACAATGTCGATAAAGTCTGCGTTGTACAGATAAGGGGGGGGGGGGGGNAAGCGCAAAAATGATGAATCAGAGAGAGAGAGAGAATTATTAATAAGTAAACAGATTTCAGAATTTCACTATTCAAGTAAAAGTGAGAAAAAACTGGTTAAATATGTATCAAGGTGATCGGATTCGAGAGGAAAAGTCGGGCGACGACGTATTCTGTACTTGCCCAGCTGCTTCACATGGTTCTTCGGTCAACCTGGGTGCAAACAAACATGGATGTTTTAGTGAGGCACTGTAAACTGTAAACTGTGTGTGTGCTCGGCATGGATTTAAAATCAGATAGATTAGACGTTATCCATTGTTCACTAACCGGAAAGCACCCGCATGAAGGGGGTGGGGGTCTAAGGTTGATAATAATCACCCTTACCTTGCACCCAGCGAAATGCGCCTAAACAACCAAACGTCTCAAACATCCTGTGCTCAGGAGGCCCTACTCACCGTGGGGGAAGTATTTTCCCACCGAAGTAAGAGCGTAAGAATCCAACATTTGGGGCTTTAACCGAGTTGGTGAACTACAGGCGGTTGGCCAAGGGAAGCCAGAGATGTGGGAACTACACAAGCACACCTCCGGATTATAACTGTGGTCACCGGTCTGATCTAGGACAACTTGGCTATAGGACCCCATCCGAAAGGTGTGTGACGCGTTGGATTGAGGGTTTTCACACACCGTTCCGCTGCCTTATTGATCGAGTTTTGGCTAGTCAACGTTGTGAATTTCCCAGGAGAAATTCAAGTGCTTTGGTCTGGGTAACTTGGCCATATTTCGTCCTCGAGAAAATCATGGACCCGTTTATTCGTTATAAAGGCCGATACACCATGATCGGTTTCGCATACAGTATGCGGAATGTACACCGCGCGACAAAAGTATTGCATACATCAATCTCCCCCTCACCCCCTCCCCCATTCCCGGTCTTGAATTTTCAGATTACCTCCGATCTTACATGCACCTAGATAGCGACCGAAAGAAAAGCCGAAGTACGAGATTTCATCAAATGAACCTTTATTTTAACGAAAATATATCGAAAAAACAACTTTCGTCATAATAGTATTGCATCANCCCCCCCCCCCCCCCCCCCGTTCAAAAACTTGATCCCCTGAGGCCACTTCAATTCCATGTATAAGATTCAACTTATATCTGTGTCGATTTCATTTGACTCTCTAATCAACGATGCGCTAATTTGTGCTTTGTGGTACACCTTGTGGGGGTGAGAATAGCCCAAATATTTTCTACTGGGTTCAAATTTGGGCTGCACGAAGAACACATCGATTTTTTGAAGCCGCGAAATAATAACCAGCGTTTTTTCTCCTACGTGTTATGAAAAACGGCATGGTATAACGAAAATGGCTGCAGGATGACCACTTGCATATGAGCCCCATTTTTCCCTGACTGTGGCGCTATGCACCATCCTTACAAAGGTTACATCTGGTCTCGTTACTGATTGTATTAATACTTCTCACGGCCAATTGAATTCGATTCGTTTTGAGGGGCAATTATCTTTTGTATTTTGCGCAAAACACGTAAAGACTGTGCAACTTTATAATCACGATGCGGTACATATTTGGTTTTCAAAAATTTTAGTAAGCCCATTTAGTTTACGACGGCGAAATGGACCGCACGAACAAAGTACCGATAAGGACAGTGCGAAAGCATAGGGTACGCGAGGAGAGTAAGTAGATTTACGACTACCACCATGAATGACCTTCCGTTATACCTCCAGTATATCTAATTGTCGGCTAGATAAGTCACAAGGGTCCATCTAAAAAGCCTAACAAAATCAAAGTAGGTCACTCTGCTGATCAATGTATTAGCGTTATCACCTCCTTGGCGTTCATCTCATACACCATTAGATTGTTAATAGTGAAATTCGGAGCAATCTGCAGAACCGAGGCCTTAAGCGATACATTAGTCTGCTGCATTACGAACGCTCGATTGAGAACACAACCGATGGACAAAACAACTGCATTTACCGCTGAATCGAATTGTCAATAACGCTAAATCCGCTAAATAGTTTTAAAGGAAAAACAGATGAAAAGGTATGTCAGTGTATCCCCTAGGGAGAATTCACAGGTTTGCGCGTACAACTTACATTTGAACGGGGTAGGATTACCATTGAGGAAGCGATTCAACATACGATTTCGACGTGCTACACACATTACTGAGAAGCCTTAGAAGAGCACATTATAAAGGATTGGCGGCAGTACAAATCTACCAAGTTTATGATGACCCGAAACCCGGTTGGTCATGGTATTTGATTTTACATCAATAAATAGAGTCCCTCTACCTCCTCCATCGGACCAATGGATGACGGGAATATTTGAGCCTAATCAGAAGGACAGCGAGCAACCAAACATACATTCGGTTAGTTGGTTGAATGAAATGAGGATCGTGCGTAAAGATGAAATCAGGGCATGTGAAGTGGCGGTGTTCTACTTGTACCCGTTTGCTTATATGTTGTTCCCCAGTGACTATTTTTGTACCAATGTCCCAATAAGAACACAGGACAAAAAAAGTCGCTTGAGAACAGCCTATATAAGCGAGCAGGTGTAAGCAGAACACCGCGACTTCACAAGCACTGTTACCCCGACTGCTGATGAAACATTCGCAGACAAATTGCCAAGCTCGACGAAAAGATAAAAATGAATAACCAAACTGTAACATCATTCCCACATTAAACGAAAAGATTAATTTATACGAATTTATAATTCTCAATCGAACGGTAAAATTTGGCTACGGAACCGGGAGAAGCAACAAATGCGAAGTGATTAAAGAGAGATGAACGAGCAACAGAACAGTTTATGATATTTAGACCAATTTTTGTGATCTGTTGAGCCAAAGTTTAATTCTAAAAACAGTGAAAAGTAGAATACGCTTAGACGATTCATCGATGCCAAGAACGTTTTTTTCCCTGAACGATTCTTCGCGAAATTCCTTGCTTGCATCCACTCACATAACTGGCAGGAAACCGATACTATTCCCCATGCCTACTTGCATCTGAGCTAGATAGGAAGCTTGATTTTAATCTGATGTGACAACAAACAAATTGAACTAAAGTACGGAATCGCATTTGTCTGACTAGACTGGATGCATGATGGCAGTCGAAGTACACCCATTGGTCACGAGAAAAGAGCTATAAGCGAACAACTGAGATTCAAACAAGACTCTAAACATGGATCCGGAGCAGTGTTTCGACAATAAACCTCATCTGAGTCATCACGTATAAACGTTGATTTAAACACAACCTACACAGGGTACAACTTTTTTATATTTTGCACGTGTTCAGTCTAATGAAAATTGGAAATGGTACCACACACGTGGTGTTCGACAAAAACCTTGCCTTGCAACTAGAATCGATAACACCACAGGAGACATCTGAGGTACGAATTCCATCAAATCCGAGGCTAATACGCTTGTCATGCGAGCTACCGATACAATGAATACTGAGTGGACAATGGTGGAGACATATATCAAAGAAGCCGCACAGGAGCATCAAGGTAACACGACGATATCAAGGTTGGATCTCAAGAAAAATGTTTCAAAGTTCTAATAAGGCAAAAAAGAAGAGATACTCTACAAGTTCCCTGAAGCCCATATCTTTCGCTGTGAAGTTATTAGCTTTGCCAAGGCAGATGGGAAATGGGTAGGAATGGTGGACAGAATGGAGACCGACGGAGGCATCGGAGATCTCGGAAAGCGCTTACGCATCAAACTTGTTAAGAAGAAACTGTTGAGATGGGTTGAACACTTCTTTCCAACAAAAGAATTATACAATTAGGAAGTCGGAACACCCAGAGATAGCAAAAGGCTGTGTACCCTACACCGCTAGGAGTCACTAGATGGAATGAAAATCACCTGGGAGGTTAGTAAAATGAAAGTTTGAAGACCCCAGGGAAGACAACCATGTTTACTGCCAGACATTTAAATCAGCGGTATTCCACTTGACATCCCTTCTCGGTTCAGTGATAGACTCTCATTGACCACATAGCAGTCAACCACAAATAGTAGGTTCGTGTGAAGAATTGTTGCTCGTAGTGGTCAGATTGTGTGGTCGCTGATTACGCGCTCAACAACAGTATGACCCATAAAAACATCGCAATGAAACTTGGTAAGCATGCCTACGATCAGCGAGGAAAATGGACGGTTTCCGATGGAGCCGATATGATGAAATGTTGATCCGATCTAAACAAGTTTCCATCAGCTTCTGCTGTTGCACCAATGTCCCTAGAAAACACCTTCACGGTTATTTGTTATTCTTGTCGATTTCTGCAGAATTCTATCAGAAGAAAGATAATAGCTGGCAAAAGCAGGTCCTCGTAACTATGGGGTTCGCCTCTTCTGCTTTTCATTATATGTGGGTGTATAATAAAAAATGCTCCAATAAAAATCGGGTACCAAACGCTGGAGACATACAAAGCAGACAGGAAGCGGTGATGGCCAGAAAAACAGTAGGACAGACAGAGCACATCAATACTGACCGACAATACGAGCCGTTTTCTCCTCCTCGGACAATTTGAAGACGTCATCTTGATGTCCCCCATCGTCAAAATAATGGGTTTCAATATCCAAAGTCAATTTGTCCACAAACGGGACGCGATATATGGTACGAGTGTATGGATAAGCGTTCCACGCTTCCTCTTCCACACGCAAAGCAGAAGGAGGCAAAATGTTGCGAAGCCAGGCTGAAACAGGATAGAGCAATTTAAAAAGAAAGACAACATAGACTTAGTGGAGGAAATAATGTGTAAAAAACATCCACATTTCAGCTGAGGTTATGATGAGTGGGGATTCAATCGACATTTGACCTGCTTTCAACAAAACTGTGCCAACAATCGACTTTGCCAATTCTGCACACATCACAGACAGTGAAAAAACTTAGCAAAGGCATGCTTCTTTTTCAACCGACTTGACTAGTAAGCAATTCGTTGGACCAGTGAAGTGAATGTGTAAGCGAACTTCGGACCGATGGAATATTTGATGAGCAAACAACAGACAATGACCAAATACGAGTTATGATGTTTTTAAGGATGAACGAAAACAGTCGAGACGACCGACGTGTATGCAATTGATGAACCGTTGTATGAGATCAGAACTGGAGCTTAATTAACTTAATATGCCAACTGAACACTCATATTTCGCAAATAGTTACCACCAACAATGCGATGTTTGTTTGAACACTGACATTCCCAATCCTCATCTATCCCTCTTAAACACACTACCTGGTCAATAAAGACGCACACACAATTTGCTCACATTTTTCCCTGAGTTATAAAATGTGTTACAACTGATCAGTAGATGATGTGAAGCAGGCATGCTTATTTATTGAATTATCGTTGTTCCAAAGAAAACCGAATCCTCGTTGCCAGTGAGGAGGTTTTAACGAACCGTTCACCAGACAGAGGTGAATTGCTTAGAGAGTGAAAATGTAAAAAAACTTCGTGGAGCAAGAGAGCGGGGGCATTTGTCAAACCAACTGCTTTGAAAATTGAGAACTGTTAGCTGAATACCGTACAGGTGGCATCTCTGAAGTGGTAGATTGGAGTTGCAATTTCGAGCGGAATCCGCCTCTNCCGCCTCTTTGGTTTCAAACACTTTATCAATTCTTATCGGTGCCTTTAATTAGTCGACACAAACACATCAGCGGCCAAAAGCCGACAAACTGCTTGGTTGGCGGACTAAACTAAGTTAAGGGTGACCCAAGCACTAAAGTCTAAGCGAGATGAACTGCTTCGCACGAAGCCAGCTACTGTTTAGTGAACAGACGAGACTACTACCTGACAGAATGGCATCTACATCTGTTCAATGGAGAATGAGCTGGTGCGAAGCCACCGACAACCAAACAACAACACTTCTGTCTTGTAGTCCGTACTGGGTTGTGTCCATCATGACGAGACGTGATGTGATGGCCAGCTACACATAATGGCTTCTCACAGCCGCAGATCCAATCAC